TAGCCCAGTGTTAGCACTTAAGAGAATATTCCCCCACAGGACAGTGGTATCAGCAGCAAAGAAGCTAGGAACATGACTTTGTGGAATCACTGCAGGAAGATATGAATAATGTCACTGAGTGAATAATCTCTGCCAATTGCCCAGAGGACACAACACACCATGCTGCACAGTCCCTGTTGGGATTTATTTACTATTTCTGTGTCGGAAAATAGATTCTCCATAAATTGAGTCAGAGTACTGAGACAGAATAACTCAGAGCTGCAGCCAGAAAAGCCACCCAATAAAAGGAACCCCTCCCTAATCCAGAAACAGTATGTTTGTTAAAATGTATGGCATTTCTCCCCTTTTTCACACTATTGTTCATCTGCCTTCTCTGTCCACATCATGCAACTAGCTGGGGCCATATTTATAAAGGTATTTAGGCACCTAAAGATACAAAGAGGAGCCTAGAGGGATTTTTTAAAGCACCTAACTCACTTAGGTGAGCTGCGTTTGTCTATGCGGGGGGGTTGTTATGCACTAACTTTAGTTTGTGCACATTAAAATGACCTGCATCTACATGACACAATTCTTAGGGTATTAACTAAATTACAATTAGACGTAGGTCTTGCCTGGCAAGCTGGGATGTGACTCTGCTGTGCATTAGCTGTCCATGTGCACCCTGCTGCTGTGCACTAAGAATTCCCTAAAGTGCGATCCACTCCCGTTTCAAAGCAGGGTAGCTGAAAGCACACTAACAAACTCTCAGTGCGCATCAGCAGGGTCCACATGGGCATTAAGTGCAGGTTTGTGTGAGATAGATTTACACCCCTGCTTGCCACAAGCTAAATGTTCATGTAGGCAAGCCCAAAAGCTCCTGGTTGCCTAATTCACTTATAAAAATGAGCGTTACGTGCTTTTGAAATTTTTCCATTGGGTCTCTTTTCCACCTCACTTCCAAGTTACAGAGAATTCAACTAAAATGGTTGCTGGAGGTTTACTGTTTGGTGTGCAGTTTTGCGATATAAATACTGGTAATGTCACTCACTTCCCCGAGATCCTTGGGAAGGCACAGACACAAGGAAAGGAATTGGAAAAATGATCATTTTACAGATCTCTGCTCTGGTTCAGAGCCTTCAAATATTGATGTGTTTGCAAAGGCAGGTATAGCAGATGTCTTGGGATTTTAAACAGCAAAGGGGTTTGGTTTTGTCGAGCACGTTTGCACGGATTATATTGGTGTCATTGTACCAGTGGTGTCAAAGAGTAAATGAAAATCAGGTCAATCTATTTAAGTTATCTCAGTATTAAGAGAAAGTAAGTCACTTAAGTAAAAGGAAAATGCTTCAGCAAGTGTGTGCGTGTCTGGGGAGGATATTGTACCAAAGAAAAAACAATTGATATGAAATCCCCAAAACAGATCGAGAGCTTTGCTTCAAAGAAGAAAGGCATCAGCTTTGCTACAACAAGGGAGTAGCAAATCAGACACTGGAAAACATTCCAGAGACTTGATACAAGTCAGCACTCTTGGAGAAAAGTTTTCTTTGTTTAAATACTGTTGCTGATTTTCAGCTTTGATCCCTATATGCAAATCGCAATGAAGATATGGGGCTAGATTCTCAGATGTGTCCATTTTCCACTGGCCAGAGCTGAAGTGAGACTGCAGAGGCGCTGGCTACCTCTCTCTGATTCTAGGGCGTGCTCTAAACTACATGGGTTGGTTCTAGCCCACAGGGGCTGTTACTCTAGTAGAGAATGGCCAAAGCAGAGTAGTGCTCCAGCCATAATCCCGTCTGCCCCAACATGCCACCTTCACCAGAGGCTGCAGATGTGAATGGTACAGGAGCCAGCTACATCAACTCCATGCCAGCTGTGGATTCTCCCATGCTGAAGGAATCTCCAACTAGTAAGATCTGATGGCTTTCTGGCCCCTTCTTACTATTGGAGCCAGCCAGAGTGACTGGATCATGCGGGAGAATCTGGCCAAAAAAGCATAAAGTACAGATGGGCACAAATAAACACCCGAGACCTGAACACCCCAACACCTTGAGGAAGTTGGATCTGGAAACTGCATCTGAATGTAATGACTTTATCCTGTCTCTATAATGTGCCAAGCCAACACCCTGGCTCCAAACACTCCCCAGCTTTGAGCAGAGTCAAATTTTTGATATAGAGAAAAATTTTACAGCATGGGCCCCTCTCTAGGATAAAATGACATTTACTTTTAGCTTATAACGCTCATAATTAGTAAGCATTCTGTGGATGCATCCACCCCTGTATGTTTTGATATAGGCTGATTTGGAAGAAAGGTGCATTTTACGTAAGCTGTACAGATACAAAACAAATGGAGAAGCAGTGTCTACAAGTACAAATGGAAAGGCAGTGTCTACAAGCCATCAACAGAGAGCAGTTGATAACCCATCAGAGTGACGGGCTATTATTGCAGGGTCTGTGTAATCAGTCCCCCAAAATACATGTATTTCTGTGCTAATGACCCTGAGTGAAGTGGTCTAGCGAAGAAAGCCCAAGTGGTATATATCATAATTAACCTTCGCTTCTCTTCTCCTTTCCGTTAATGTTCATAGTTGTAATTTGCTGGTTTTCAGATGCTTGACCTAAATAGACATGAAAGCATATTAGTCTGAAGGCTAGAGAGTACTCAATAAAATGTAGCTCATTGCACAATATTCTCCTCATAACCTGCAGCTATATCAGGAGTTTATTACTAAGTGCAGAAAGCACTGAATAACTACCAAGATAAATTTAGCCTTCCAACACTGTCTGGCAGGTTGAGGCATTTGTTTGGTATTCTTTTTAAGGAAACAGGAATTTGTATGTCTTTGTTTATTGAAGCAGAAAAAGGAAAAAATTCTGCCCCGAGGTCCTCAAGTCTGATTGCTTGTTGAGGTGTCTGTATTATTTGGACTGCTTTGCCTGGCCACTCGCTCTCTCTGAAAATGGGAGTCATCTGTCTGAAATGAAGCAGATTGTAAACTCTTCAGGGGAGAGACCATGTTTATGTGCATCTGTCCACGAGGCACCCACCACACTTGTGGGCATGGAATAAATAAATTGCCCACTAGGAAGTGTAATGAGAATTTCAATGGACAATCTCAGGTTT